AGCACATCCTCTAATAGATCTACAATCACTCACTTCCGTGTCTCATACATAAACATATCTATCTTAAAAGTCTGTCCCGTCAAGATGTGCTTCTGGCTGGCCAGCATAAATAAAAAGTTTTAGGAGTGATATAGCAAAAAGCTCTGATGCCAAGAGAGGTACTCAGTAGAACATATATCATACAATCAACTACAATCGTTCGTTCCCGAGAATCCTGCTCTAACTCATCACTCATGCATACTATCACTCACCTATCCATATCCCAACCTACCTAGTCCGCCTTCCAACAATACCTTCTCTCTTCCCTACCACTTATATCTTCTACATCAACCACTTTCCTTACTATCACTTACTTTCTATTTATCTCTTTCTTAACTAATCACTTACTTATAGTCTGCCAGTAGCTATCTTATTATTCCTGTTAATTACTTCCTTACCTTATTAGTATATTTATCATTCCCTTTATTAACCTATCTTTACTCTTATTATTCCTTATATCACTTAAGTCCCTCACTATTAGTCTTCTACTTTTTCCTCCCCTACCTAGATCCCCATTGCCCTCTTCCTTCCAATACTTCCTTATTAACTATCACTCTATGTCTTCATACATCCCTTACCTTCTCTTATACTCATTATTACTTTCGTACTTACTTATTCCCTATCCATTCCTTACTCTTCTCTCCGACCTTTTATCACATCTACTCTACTTCTGTCAAACACTGTCCCTTCCTCCCAACTACATACTACCTTCTGTTAGCCTGTCTTCTTTTCTATCTACTCCTTACTTATCCTTTTCACTTAGTCTCTTTACTCATTTACTTAGTCTTCCCTACTACCTTAAACCTAGTCCTTACTAAATAGATCCACTTACTCAACAACCCTGCCCATTCTTCCCAATCTGCCTTGCTTCCTTTAATGTCTTTCTCCTAACCTCTACTTCTGTCAAATACTCCCCCTCCTCCTAACTATATACTACCTTCTGTTAGCCTGTCTTCTTATTCACGTATCGTGTTCTTTCTTACTCCGTCTCACTTCTATTCACCACTAACCACCGTCTCATATCCTCCATACTGTCTACATCAACTTCTATCCCCCACTCCTCATCCTTCGTCTCAAAAATATACCACCTAAAAGTAATGTCCCTGCTTCTCATATAGTATCTTCCCATATAATTCCTCATGTCGTCTTTCATGTGTCACGATCTAATCCTAAAAGGGTTCTCTCAATCCAATCGTATCTTCTCTGCCCATTTAAAACTCAAAAATTTTAGGGTCTCCATACCAAAAAATCGGACAATAGTATCTTGCTACAATCTTGTGTCAAATCCTCTTTGTTCGTGAATCCTGTCGTAACTGTACCTTACTCTAATTAACTCCGCTTCTTCCCAACTATTCTTCTGTCCTCCTTCCCATATCCCTTCCTTCCAAAATGTTGCATCATATTCCCAAAGTCTCTACCTTCTTAATATCCTTCCTATCTTCTGCTATCATATCCATGTCCTCAGTTCCTACTGTACTTTCTCACTCCAATCAATCTCCATATCTTAGTTATGTTCTGCCGGTACTCCCAGGCCACACGTCTCGTTCTGTCCGGTGTCTCCACTCGGGCCACCTCTGTGGAACATTCGCTCTGCTGACGCAGAAATTCCCACCGGCCGGAAGTCCTGCAACCACTCCTCGCTGCCGCTTTCCCAGCTTTCACCCCTAAAATTTTTCCAAATAATTTTTCCTAAATTTTTATTTTCCCTGCCAATCTGGCCTTATCTATATCTTACTTATCCAAACCCCATCTAATATCCAATCCTCTACTCCTATCCATGTCCATCTTCCATATCTCTCTTATACACTCCCACCTTCCATCCTAGTATCTTTCCTTCACTCATCCAGCTACTAGTACCTATTTATTCCCTTCTCTGTGTATCAAAATATCTCCTTTTCTACCATATCTACCTACACATTGTTCACTTACTCCTCTCCAAAATCTTCACTCATCCCAACAATCATATCTTATATTGCTACTTACTTCTCCCTGTCTAATCCATCTGTAGCATTCCATATCTGCAATAATGCAATCCACACATACTCCATTAGTCTAACTACTACAATGTAATATTGATCTATCCTCATATCTCTTATTTGTTTTATATCCACTACTTTTCTCTTATACCACACACTTTATATTCCTGTCTCACACTGTCTTCCACACACATACAAGGCTTATTTGAATGATGCTAGTTGATTTGTACCAGATCCACTACATTTGACACTCCCTGTCATACCAATGATAAATTAAATCGACCAAGTTTTGTACAATATAAAAGTTGCATGCACACCCATGCACGGCTTGTCAATCAAAACCGTAACTGATCTGATCAGAGCACTGCCTGTTGGGTTTCTTACCCTATTCTCAGATGCCTGCTGCACTGCAACAAGTGAGCAAGAACTTTCAGGAGTACAGCTCCAAAGTATGTCTATCTCGAGTAGTAAGTCAACCAATATCTCATCCCACTCAGCTCCCAAGCTCAGAGTTTTCAAGGACCCAGATAGCCACTTTACTACTTTTATGAATGATTCCAGAATCTCTGAAATAATCGATGAGTATTTTGGATATCTGAATCTTGACCAACATGGGGACTATCTAAGGAATAGACATGAGATTCATGAAGTTGTGGCAATGAAACTGTACCGAATTGTAATCCAGCAGAATGTGGATTTCCAAGCAGGTACAAACTTTTAAATGAAGATGGCAGTCCAAAAGAGCAAGCTGTCCTAAGATCCAAAACATGCCTATGGGTGTCTAAACTCACAACAATCTCGGAATTATGGTTCGACTTTGGTCATATTCCGATCAAAGCCTGGAAGCTCCTTGCTGACTTCTGTGGAACTACGTATTTGTGGATATCAAAAACAAAAATTGACGTCACTGTACTGAACGACCCAGATCTCAGTAAGATAAAAACACTGTTTTTGGTTGATGTTGGATTGACAGAGATGCCATGCTTGTCCAGCCTCACAGGTCTTGAACACCTATTCTTGAATGGTAATCAAATTGGAGAGGTCAATCTTCAAAGCTACTTTGATGCTGAGAAGGGTACACACAGAGCCATGCCAAACTTGAAATATCTGGACTTGCGTGGAAATCCTATATTCAGTATGTGTACAAGAATTAGGGAGGTTTTCACAAACCGTTCCATGGTAATACGTCTAAACAATCTACGCTTATGCCATCCATTTAGTAATGTAAAACATGAAATGAAAAAAGCACGTACCAGCCCATTGAACCTGATATGGAGCATCGGTGTTGGATGTCATGAATTAGTTAAATTGGTCGTCAACACTGACTTAAAACATCTTTATTTACTAATATCCTCTTCGACTTTTATCCTCTGCACCAATGTTCTTTGGTTGTTGTTCTACTGAGCTGCCAGCCTGTGATTCTTGGCATTGGTATCCGTGTGCCGAAGAGGTAGGTGATCTACACACTTCATGAATAGACAAAATCCAGTTGCAGCACTTAATAGCCTTGACTCTGGACTAGTTGCTACTAAACCAAGTCCTGCACGTTCTCCTCAGCTGGCCAAGCATCCAGGCATGCAGACATGGAACTGGAGTATCTGCGGTGTACTTAACGATACATCTAAACAGTATGTACCGAATCCCACCAAAACGCCATGCTGTATCCTGGAGAAGAGGCTGCTTACAGATGGGAAATAAAGACCAAAAATCCTTCACATCCAGTGCACGGAAAGAGAACACACTACATCAAGCTTGCGAACCAATTTATTGCAGTAAACATCCACCTAGTCTTCGTGAGGATATTCCCCACCAGCCGCCTCTCTCAACAATAACACCCATCTTCACCAGGAAATACTTCGCAAACTCCCTAGTGATCTCAGGGATGCATCCAACCATGTACTCAACATCCTCTGAAAGACCACTCGGTATCTCCTTCTCGTCCCACCGGCACATCCGCTTCCTATCCTCATTGCTGATCTCCGTGGTGCATATCAGCTGTGCTATCATACTCACAATGCGGCCCCTGCTGTTGATCCGTCCTGTCAGCACATCTATCATGTGCTCCGGTGTGAATATCCTGTAGAAGGCCCTCAGTGCATTCCCCGGACGTAGGCGGAATCTGTCCATCCGCGCCAACTGCTCCCTACCTATAATACCCGTCTGGAACTCAAAGTCAAGCCCAACATCGTCCCGCAACTCGTATCTCCAGAAGTTCTGAACATGCACATTCTGCCCCACATTCAGGGGCGTGACGGCAATATCAAACACCCGTTCTTTTTCCTGCCCAACCCATGTCTCAACAACCTTCCTCACTCTGTCCTCCAGACTGCTACCCTCCTGCTCCTCCACATCTCCTGTCAGCAAATTGTGCACAAACATCATCTCGGATATCTGTCTGTCCGGACAATACCCAAGCCCCTCACAGATCACATTGATGTTCGAGACGACCACGTCCCCATCGCTCTCTTTCGAAAGAGCATTGAGTATGGCTCCAAGCAGGTTCTTGGCCAGACCCGTGTGCTCCTTCTTCATCCTCCACCTCCTGTACTCTTTGTCTGGATTGTAGATGTGGTGTATGAACTCGTCCATTGTTCTCTTGTTGTCGCCCATTATGAACTTGCGGCTGTTCTTCTCCCACATGTCTTTAAAGGTGTTTTTGTCATTACCAGTGAGCTTTGATATGTTCCGTTGCTTGGTGTAGCTGTTTTTGTTGTCTGCAACCTTTGTAACAATCTCTGTGATATTCCTATTTCTGGTCTCTCCGTCTACATCTGTCCTGAGCAGTGCAGAAAAGCCCTCTCCATACACTGCCACAAGGACTCTTCTGCTGGCCTCAATCGTCTCAATGACCTCGGGCCTCAGCCTGTCCCACTCCCTCACAAACATGCTCTCATTCCACAGCCTCACCAATTCTTCCTCGCTGCACTTCAACTCAGGAACTGACTGCGGTCTGAGTGTTCTCAGCATCTCAAAGTTCCAGTGCATTGGCTTGCTCTTAAGTTCACTGTACACATCCCCGACTGAAATTTCATCTTCTTCATATTCAACGATGTCGTTATCAAGCACAACACGATCCCCAAATATCGCTCTCAGTTCTCTCCTACCCACAGTCCTTTCTCCATCGCCAACCTCTGACATGTTATTTCCCATCAAATTCAGTAATCGCAATGAACCTGACAGCTTTTCTATCTCAACTGGTAGTGTCTCAAGTTTGTTATCACTGAGATACAGTTCTCGCAGATTCTGCAGCTCTCCTATTGCTGCTGGCAGTGTCTCAATCTTGTTATTACCAAGATTCAGCATCCCTAGATTCTTTAGCTTTCCTATTACATCTGGTAATGACTCGAGATTATTTTTATAGAGCTCCAGTACATATAGATTCTCCAGCTCTCCTATTACAGGTGGTAGTGTCTCAAGTTTGTTACCACGGAGATTCAATTCTCGCAGATTCTCCAGCTCTCCTATCTCGTCTGGCAATAGCTTTAGCTTGTTATCATTGAGAAACAAATATTGTAGATTCTTCAGCTTTACTATCACCGTTGGAAATGATTCAAATTCGTTGTAACCAAGATCCAAGGTCTGTAATTTCCTCAGCTCTGCTATCACTGTTGGAAATGACTCAAGTTCGTTATCATCGAGACCCAGTTCTCGTAGTTCCTTCATCTCTCCTATCTCGTCTGGCAATAGCTTTAGCTTGTTACCACGGAGATACAAGATCTGTAGTTTCTTTAGCTCTGCTATTTCAATGGGGAATAATCCAAATTTGTTATTGTTGAGAATCAGTCTTTCTAGATTCTTTAGTTTTCTTATCACTGTTGGAAATGATTCAAATTGGTTATAACCAAGATCCAGATGCTGTAAATTCTTCAACTCTTCTACCTCATATGGTAGTGCCTTGAGCTTGTTATCACCAAGATCCAGATGCTGTAAATTCTTCAATTCTTCTATCTCGGGTGGCAATGATTCGAGTTTATTATTTCTAAGATCCAGATGCTGTAAATTCTTCAGCTCTCCTATCTCAGGTGGTAGTGCCTTGAGATTGTTACCTTTGAGATCCAGCTTCTCTAGATTTACTAGTCTCCCAATATCGCTGCCAATAAATCTAATGCCTTGTCTACATATAGATATTACAGTCGTATCCACAGGATAGTTTCTAAAGCTATAGATTCCACCTGGGTTTGCACCATTGTCCGAGCTCTGGAGTGTAGCTCCCATGAGCACAAGTAGACTCCAGATTGCTTTGTATGTCTTTCTCGTCTCTGCAATATTCATAAGGGGTGTGGCTGAAAATTTTTAAATAGTTGGATTTGACAGTATCAATGATATATCTCCAAGTTAAAAACCACAATGACATGTATACGCTTTAACTACAAGCAGGACTGTAATACTGCCAATACCACATTGACTGTGCTGGTACGTCTTTGTGAGTGCATGCTACCACTCAAAAATTCAATTGAAAATAGAATGTTGATGGGTGTCAATATGTCATGCCAAATCATTCCAGACTGACTTGTGATCCGTTGACAAATGACACTGGAGTAGTTAGTGCACAGCTTACTGCACAGTAGATGCTCTACTATATTCTTTGTGCAACCCCAGTTGAATGTAGGCATTGGGTGTGCTGCTGGTTGTCTAAATGTCCAGTACAGAAACAAGCATATTCCCCGTAGCATAGCACGGTAGGATATTGCATGTGAGTATATAGATATAATTAAACCATAAAGCCTGTGAAAAACATACAGTTAATTGCATTTATTTAAGCACTAGTCAGAAAAGTAAATTGAGTAAATCCTACGTGGTCATAATCAGGCACACGAACAGACTACACATTCATAGATGACTCTTGTCTGTGGTCTCTATCAGACATAGAAATAGTTTGTTCCCTGTACAGACCATGTATCCACCCAACGGCTGCCACTATCAAGAACATCCTCTGCCTGTCTACACGCTTGCATTAATCAGCTACTGGACTCTTGGCATAGAAGGATCAGCCCGAAGATGAGTCATTGCCTGCACTGCTAGAAGAGCATCTAGTAGAATGAGTCAAGATATAGCATCACTCATATGGCTGGGTTGTAAGCCATAGAACAGATCTTGGCAGCAAATCCAATTTACTTAATCTGTGTGTATATGCCATTCGCAGGAATATATCTGCTATCCTCCATGCAGCGTAGAAATAAGCACTATGTGGCTGTCAACCCCCACCTCCTTATCTTCTTTCGTCTCAACGTCTTGCTCATCAATCAGGCATATCGTTCCATGTGCAAGCGTAGCGTCTGGCCTGAAGAAGCTCCTGTGTGCTCTTGGCTCTGTCTTGTAAATATACGAAACCACCCTGTCTACTGTGCCCAAGCACTCTCTGTCTACTGTCTCCGGCTCTATTTCAATTTGGTTGCTGTTCAGAAATGCGTCATCTGCTCCGCTGAATGTTATCTTCATTCCTTTGGGGCTGGACTCGACAAAGAAGCAGTAGACACATGGCTCATAACTGCACTGTGCACTGCACCCCAGACCAAGAGATAGCCAAGACTTTCCTCAGAGTAGATTCTATCTAGACATAATGACT